TTGCTGATACAGGCCAGGATGCTGTTGGCCTTCTTGGCCACCTGGGCACACTGCTGGCTCATGTTCAGCTGGCTGTCAGCCAGCACCCCCAGGTCCTTTTCTGCTGGGCAGCTTTCCAGCCACTCATCCCCCAGCCTGTAGTGCTGCATGGGGTGGTTGTGACCCAAGTGCAGGACCCGGCCCTCGGCCCATCGGTCTCATACAATTGGCCTCGGCCCATCGGTCCAGCCCGTCCAGATCCCTCTGCAGAGCCTTCCTGCCCTCAGGCCGATCAGTACTCTCACCCAACTTGGTGTTGTCTGCACACTTACTGAGGGTGCACTCAATCCCCTGGTCCACATCATTGATACAGATTTTAAACAGAACTGTCCCCAACACTGAGCCCTGGGGAACACCACTTGTGACCAGCCACCAACTGGACTGAACTCCATTCACCACCACTCTTTGGGCTCGGCCATCCAGCCAGGTTTTCACCCAGCAAAGAGTACGCCTGTCCAAGCCACGAGCAGCCAGTTTCTCCAGGAGAACGCTGTGGGAAACAGCGTCAAAGGCTTTACTAAATCTAGGAAGACAATATCCACAGCCTTTGCTTCATCCACTAAGCGGGTCACCTCATCACAGAAGGAGATCAGGTTAGTAAAGCAGGACCTTCCTCTCATAAACCCATGCTGACTAGGCCTGATCACCTGGTTGTCCTGTATGTGCCACATGATGGCACTCAAGATGACCTGCTCCATAACCTTCCCCAGCACCAAGGTCAGACCAACAGGCCTGTAGTTCCCCAGATCCACCAGATCGTAGCAGCACTCAATAAACAAAACGAAACAAAACACACACACACACCCACCCCCAGACCAAAACTCTGCAGACATGAAATGGTACTTTTCATCTTACGGAATACAGTAAAAAGGAATCACACAGAACGTGTTACCTACTAAAAACCTACTACTACTGAAGAATTTAGCCAAGTTAACAAACTCACTTGGAATTCACAACATGAAATACTGTGGTAAGGGTATTTCGTGCCACTCCAGATCATTATAGGCGAGGTGAAGAGAGTAATTCAAGTTAAATTCAAGTGGGCCAACTAGCAGCCTGAGCACCTGCCCAGGCTTCAGCCTTTTCTATTACAGCCACCACATGCTGAAGCTAGAATTAGAAGACAGTCTTCTCTGCCAACATTTGAAGACTAACAGCTGTCAGGTACTTTCAACTTGAAGTAAAAAAAAAAAAAAGAGAAAGAGAAGAGAAAGCCCATGGCCACCAGTCACATCAGCATCGCTTCTCCTTTTGCTCTCTGCATTGCCTAAACAGATGCTTCCCAGTGCTGCTCTAATCCCCCAGCACCTCCCACTGGCCACATCAGCTGCTTTACTTCCCCAGTGATCTGCTCCCCAGATCTCACGATACATCCAATAGAGCATGTCCCACAGAGTAAGTGGGAAGCACTACCCCAGAGGACCTCTTGCCCTGATTGTTTCAGCATTCATCCTTAAGAACCAGAACCACCAACGACAGCCTTTTACATGAAGAAGTCTATCCTGTGCTCTTCTGGTTGGAACAACATGAAAGTTCCTCGTTTTCTCAGAGACTGAGAAGTTTGAGGAGCAGGTAATTACAACAAATGTGTATCTGTTTAGGCAACAGCTTACAGTCAATCACCTGGGTCTTCATACCCAGCTGAGGAAAGCAGGTATCACAAACTGTACATTTTTTTTATAGTTAAAGACCTTATAGACATAAGACAACTCTTCAAAATCTGATTAGACCCATGAAACCAACCCAAACCACCATCTGTTGTGTTATGAAGTAGACAGCAAGATAGGGATTATCTGAAACGGACAACTGGGAAATCACAAGTCCATCATCTACAATATTAAGTGTGGAACAACAAAACCATACTAAGCTGCTTTCAGAAGAATTATGCTTTTATACTTACGTATATATCCTTCCTTTCTTTGGTACTGAACAGCTTATAAAAATAAAATTAGTATTGCCTTCAAAATGATGGTAGGATGTTAACTGCGCTGTTGTAAAAATAATCCTTGCTTACTGAAAGTGCTTTATCCATGCATTTTGTAAATGGAGGGTCCCACCACATTCCTGTCTTGTATACATGCTAAACATTGCACTACAAAAAAGGGCTTATTTTGTAAAGCTTTCTCATCCTCATTTCTATTTCTGTAAATGGGAACTGCAAAGCAAAGACAGACTGAAGCACAGACACAGTCCTTCACTTGGCCACACCAAGGTAAGAAAAAAGTCTCAGTATTGCAAAGGAAGGGAAGCAGGTACTATTTATTTACAGGTATTGTGAATACTCTGATTCTGAAGTCTTTTCAAACACAGGCTAGAGCTCTACTCAGTTTTCCAAAACTTACAGAACCAAAGATTTTGGTACAAAATTGATTAAAATCTGCAACACCATTTTCCTCTCAATATAACTGTTGTTGCACAAGATGTCATGATGTACTCATAAGTTAAACTAAGCTCTTCCATGAAATAATACCAGCCAAATAATCGCTTCAGAGAAGAAACAGTCATTCATCTCATGTCAAGAGCTGGCCGTTTGAAGTACGACTCACAAACGTAACTTTCACCAATACTTCTAAACTTCTGCCATGACTGCCTCATTAAACAGCCTTCCTTCTTTATTTCTACAGACCAAAAGAAGAGGTCTTCCCTCTGGCTCCAGAGAAGAGGGTTGGGTTGGGTTTTTTTAAATGAATTTGGTATTCACATGGTACCTTGTGCAGGTCACAGAGATGGACCAGAAAGAAGAACCAGGGCCTTTGAACAATAGAACTAAGCATTACGACAGACAGAACACAATGCACGTTTGTTTGTTAAATGTGCATTAGACAGACAGCAACTACATACGTATTTAAGAAAACGTTTCACAACCACAGTACACGAGACTCCTAGAAACATTTTTCTTTACCTGGTCGTAGTGTATACAGGCCTTTCACAATATTTGCCATGGTTGAAGGAGTTATTTGAAACGGCGTTGACTGAGCTTCCAAAAGTAAAGCTGAAATAAAATTAAGAGAATTAGCCATTTTTCTCATCAAGAAATATAGGCTCTTACACATACATTTTTATATCAAAGAAATACAGTAGTTGTCTTTTTTTTGTTATCCGATGTCCTCACATAGGAAACAGCCAGGTATCTGACTGACAATTCTCAAAAGTTATAAAACACCACCTTTAAATAAAGCATTCTGTTCAAATTATGTACGATGAGAATGTGAAATAACTTATTCTTCATCCATTTTCAGACATGCAGCAGGGGTTCTGAGGAAAAACCAAGCAAGCGACAGCTCTAAATATTCAGGTACAGAACTGAAGTAAACAATTTATTTTTAGAAGCACTCTCAAACTGAGTGTGCTAAACACCTGGAGATCCACTAATCCTCGCTTTACAGCATTTAGCATCTTGCCCACAAAACTAAGGCTGGACTGCAAGTCTATGAATGAAGTGCAAGTAACGTAAAAAAAAAAAAGTAAAAATCAAGTAAGCAAAGTTGTTTATTCTTTTAAACACAAGTGAACACTTCTATTTCATTTTTGGTCTCTTCTGCAATAATTGCATCTTCCTCTTGTGGAAAAACCTGGTAATAGCAGATTTACTGCGTATATTACAATAGCCACGTCTTTAGCCTGCCTTGTATTTATTTGGGGTTTGTACATTCATCTGAATGGCAGAAACCAACAAAAAAATATACATCAATAAGGTTTAAACCAACTGCTGCCTTTCAGGTTTTATGCTTCTACAAAGGAGTTGAGCAGTATATACACCTTTCTGTACCCACTACGTAGAAGAGAAACAACTCTCACAATTCCACCTAAAGGGCATATCTCTTGTGCTTACATTGTAGACACTCTGGGTTTTAAACTGCTAATCTGCAGCATCTGCCACTATCGTATTTACCATAAAAAGAAAAATCTTCAGTAGCATGTTCTTCTTTTGCAAAACACTTTAAGGGGCTCGTGTAATAGGGAGATTAAAAAAGAAAGTATTTTTTCTAACCTCCAAGTAATCAAAGTGGTTATATTTAACTGTCACAGATGAATTTGTTTCACAAAGAACCATCTTTAAAGCACTTTCAGCTGAAGCCTTGAGGGTGTGAGAGCCTGTGATTTGTTTTGTAATGACATATTTACAGCCTCTTTCCTAAATATTTTTCAAACAGCCTCTTGGCAGCCAGGAAAGTTGCAAATCACAAAATTAAAAAGGGGATAATGCTTTATAAGGAAGATACGCAGGCAGTAATGCACAATCCACACAATGTGTGTGTATATACACATATATATTTAATTAAAACTGTAGCTACTTCAGCATAAGCTTCACCAATAGATTTGTAAAGTGTCCAGAGAATTCTAAATTTGTTCCTTGTATGTACACACCACATTACATTCCAAAGCTATGTATAACAAGTTATTTAAAATAAGCCTACAAATTAATACTGACTTAAACATCACAAAGTCCAGAGTTAAAAGTCACTTTAATATTTTAATAGATGTTAAAAAGCAATTCAATTAACAGAGCTTCTTGATTTTATTCTTGATAAACTGAAAACTGTGCTCGCCAGTAGTATTCAAGTTATAACTGGCAAAAGCAATTTAAAAATATTTCCGAAGCTACTTTATATAATTGTATATGTACAGGGCATACATACTGTGGAAGAGAAAGAAGCTATTCAGAATTGCTTTGGGGACAAACCCAAGTATTTACACTTGCCCTCAACTACATAACTAACTAGAGGGCATCTGACTACTTGGATACCTCTGAGTCAATGGAAAATTGCAGGTCAATACTTATTTCACCTACGGACAAAATCCGAAACACGGTGCCTATACCCTGAGCACACAGTCGCATGTACTGTCATCTTTCAATTTATTTTTTTTTAAATAACATAGAACAAGTAGATAGCATAGACAAAGAAAAATTTAAAAATTTAAAGGGATTTCATGAATAAAATCAGTGGAAGATCTGGAGATCAATCCTACAGAAGTATAGTCTTCATCACTTTATTGCAGCTTCAGAAATTAACATTATCTTTGTTTCTGCAACTGCTTACACCACATGCAATAATGCAAATTTAAATTACTCCTGATTTACAGTCAGTACATACAAGCATGATGGTATTATTTTCAACAACAATATAACTAAGTAATGGCATGTATTTGCTGTTTCTCAATAAAGAAAACTAAAAGAATATACTATTCCTTAAACCATACAGTATAAACTAATCCAGCCTATACCTTTTCCAAAAGCTAGATATCAATACCTGAAGTATGAATAGCACTGCCGTAGGTTATGTATTTTCAGAACGATTTCCATAAGGATGAGCAAGACAGATTTATAGACAAACATGTAAATAGATAAAAAATGTAAAACTTCTTCACGTACAAAGATTTATAGACAAACATGTAAATAGATAAAAATGTAAAACTTCTTCACGCACAAGTTCATCCCCAGTTTTGCAATGAAACCTACCCAAACATTCAATCCTGTATTACTTCTTAAGAGAAGGTCACTTAAAATCATAGAATAGAAACAGCTGTGCCAGACATGCTGAAGTTACTTCTGTTGTTACTTTACAGTCTTTCAAAAGACCTCTAAATGTTAAGGCTTTGGCTCTTGCTTTATTAGAATAATTAAGGAGACTCTACCACACAGAAGTTGCACAGACTCCTTCTACCTACTCCCAGACCCTCCGCCTGCGGCATTCACAAAGAGCAGGGCGAGGCAGAATAGAACTAAACCTCAGACGAATGACAGTGGTAATGACACTACGATACTATCTGACCACCTCCACTGTGTTTATGAACTAATACTGCATTTTTACAGACTAAGTAACCAATATGCAAAGAAGTTAATTAACCTGCAAATAGTCTTCAAAATAACTCATGGAAGAATCAAAGAAGAGGAGTGTGGGTTCCCATGATGAAATGCTTTAACTGCAGAAAGATACAAGATGCTTTGAAATATTGTTGAACCGAGGTAAGAAACAATACCCAGAATGGCCTCGGGATTTTTTTTGAGGAACGATGAATGAATCATATAGGAGTAAGTGAGGTATGAACCTGCAGCAGTTCAGGTACCCTGCAGTAACTGAGTTACTCCACTATTGCAAACAACTACTCTGCTCTGGTGAGACCCCACCTGCAGTGCTGTGTCCAGCTCTGGGGCCCTCGGCACAAGAAAGACATGGACCTGCTCCAGCAGGTCCAGAGGAGGCCACGAAGATGCTCAGGGGCTGAGGCAGCTCCCCCATGGGGACAGGCTGGGAGAGGAGCCTGGAGAAGAGAAGGCTCCAGGGAGACCTTCTAGTGGCCTTCCAGTGCTGAAAGGGGGCTGCAGGGAAGGTGGGGAGGGACTCTTGGTCAGGGAGGGCGGGGATAGCACGAGGGGTAATGGTTTCAAACTGTAAAAGGGAAGATTTCTGTTAGATATTAAGGAAAAGTTCTTCACTGTGAGGGTGGTGAGGCACTGGCACAGGTTGCCCAGAGAAGCTGTGGCTGCCCCCTCCCTGGCAGTGTTCAAGGCCAGGCTGGATGGGGCTGGGAGCAACCTGGTCTGGTGGGAGGTGTCCCTGCCCATGGCCGGGGGGTTGGAACTAGGTGATCTTTAAGGTCCCTTCCAACCCAAACCATTCTGAGATACTATGAAGAAGCTTGCCCCTCAGCAAAGGTTTAAGCTAATTCCTAATTACAGTGGGGTACTTGGGGCAAGATCCAGGACCCCAGTAATTCCCACAGTAGCAGATACCTTACAAGTTCACACTGACTTGTTCATAACTTAAGATTCACTTGCAAAAACTAAGAGTTAGCTATTCTACAAACCTTTTTCTATCCTCCAACATTCCTTTCAAAACAGATTTATTTTGCTTGGAAAACATGCAATTTTTCTGGCAGAAGAGCAAAATTTTTGCATGTTAGCACACAAGATTTTTTTCCTCCCTTTGCAGTAATCTAATAGAACTTCAAAGTAAGATATTTTAACAAATCATACATAAGTATGGCTTAGGCAGATGTATTCAAAGTTGTAATTATTCAACGATGCACTTAAAAGAATTATAAAGTGTATTCCCATGAAAAGCAACTCCAACAGCTTCTACAACCAAGGTGTTAGTCAGCTGTCGCTCTCCAGTCTTCAACAGAAGCAGAACTGATCGCTTAATGAAGCCACAAAGTAAAATAAATGTATTCCAGAGATGTTTATCCCATTGCACAAACTGCGCTCTTTAGTACTTAATTCCAATATATATGCAATATTTATATATTATTTTGCAGAATAACAACTTTGCTATTTCCACAGAACTTGAGCCCTTACACAACTGAGATATACAGGGATGCACAGCAGAAACGATGGAGCCATCACCACTGCACAGCCCAAACAAATCCTAACAGCACAGGCTCACCTGGCAGTTCTGCCCTTTAGGAATATGACCAGATCACATGTAGCCAAATCTATAGTATAATAAATTACCTTTCTCTCAGCTAAATTATATCAGGTCCATCTGACCACACATACCTTTCTACTTCATGGTGGTAACATCAGAGGCACCTTTAATACAGCTCCTGTACCCCAATCTTTACTCCCAAATCCGGCTGATGCAAAGCAGTTGACTGCACCCCACATGCCAACTGCAATTCAGTAGGAAGGGAACCGCTACGGCTGACATCTCCAAGATGTGGCTGTAGGTTTTTGTTGGTTTGGCTTGAGGTTTTTTTGGGAGGTTGGTCAGGTTTTTTGTTCTTTGGGGTTCTGGGTTTGTTGGTTTTTTTGCCTGCTGCCTATTTTATTATTAAATTGACTGATGGAGTTTGATCATGTATTACCTTTTCATTAGTTTAACTCAGGTCCAATTTGTACACGTTAACTATCGATCCACAACTTCAAAAGCCTTTTGCATGAAAAGCAATCTTCCCTCTGGCTTAACCCTCAGATTTGCAGTTACATCAAACTCCTCGTGATTCTGCATCTTACTTTCTTTTAAACAGAACTAAAAATAAATTCTTAGC